GGGGGGGGGGGGGGGGGTCGGGAAGAGACTTTTGAAACTCAAATGTGAACGTTTATTCAAAATTTTATAAACAGATTGAAAATTAGTTTAAATAAACGTTGGTGTTGCAATTTTTACTTTCCGTCAGCTCGTCGATGAGATATCCAACTTTGTAGTTTAGGTAAGGGGAGAGTAGTGGAATACCATACACTCGTGTGCATAGAGCGCAAACGTCGCGCACTGTTCCATGTCACCGCCAAAAAATGTACGCAAATTATTTTAGATGTTTATAAATCGAAAAACGTTTGTATTATATATTTTTCTCTATTTCGTATACTCGCGGGATAAAATTACTGTAATACACAACTCTAATCATCACCGTGCATATATTATAGGTGGGTTAGGTTAGGAAGAGTATACGTACTAAATACTAATGTAAATATCAAGGGGCGTGGATAGGGCAACAGTAAGGAGTTTCGATCCATCTCCACTCATTGAAAACACTGTTTAGGTAAAATCGAGAAACACAATATTATAAAATACGGCGGTCTCGTCTAATCTGGTGATCCTGGTTTCGGTTTTGACTCCCCCGTTTTCACTGTCAAAAATCTATACCCACGCCCTTGCTTTTTTTTCTCGTGTGTGCATTCAATACCATTTCATACCTGGTCCAGTAGTTTGGTCAGTGCTTCGTGGTTGGCAATGACGACCGCGTCATAACTTTCTTCGAGACTCTTATTGTGCCCCGGCCGAGTGTTTCTGATGCTGTCTTCGGCTCCAAACTAGAAAAACATAGGGCCGTCAATATTTATCGTGATAATAACGCGCGCGGTTAACGGTAAATTCTACATTTGTGCGGGAGAAAACATTAAGTTATAATATTATTATGCTGATTTTCTGTGGACGATAAGATATAAAAAGTAATTGGATTTATGTCCGTATAGGCGCGTTTTTACGATTTTCATTAATATTTTAACTTTAAGCGCAGAACCACAACTAGAGAAAATTTGCTAATAGAACGTCACCACTGAGTTAATGATCGAAGCGAGATATTTACCCGGTATAAAAGTTGTTTAAAAAGTTGAACAAAACACATACGCATTATACAGTAAACCAATCACATTTCTCGCTTTAACGTTTAAAATCCGAAATCCGATAGCATTTTTTTCGGCCCATTGAAATATATTGAAATTTTTTACAAATAAAAACACGATGAACGTATTGGTGTGCATTAACTCACGTCGTCGCCAAACCGGATGGTCGGATATGTTTCGGATTCGGTCTCGCTGCCGCAATACTGCATGGAAGTCAGTCGTGCCATTTCCGGTGAACCGTGATGATCGCACTCCGGCGCCGAGAAGTTGACGGGCTCGTAGTTATCGTCACCGGACCCGTTAGAGTTGCACGTCTTGGATCCGTCCAGATGATCTCCGACTTCGGGGGGTCGGACGGCCGCGGGCCTTGCGGGGGACGTTGGTAGTTTCACGACGGGTGGAAGACTTCTGGGCGGCGGCGGCGGTTTAGTAGGCCGAACTGAAAACACGGTCGAACATGGTGTCAATGCGAGGAAATATACATAGCCGTTCGTCGTATAAACACAAATCGTTTTAGGTCGAATCACGGACCAAGATATTATACAAGACTGGAAAGGAGCACCGAAATCGTGATTTGAAAAGTGTTTGTTCAGAGTGATTCATTTAGCGTAAAAACGTATTATTTCGCAGTGTTGACTTTTTTTTTTTTTGAAAATGTAAGAAACAAACAACTTTAAAAATGTTGAATTGCTAGTATTTTTTGTCGTATTTTATTTTCGGGAGTGAAACGGCTCTCTGATTTTTATTTTCAAATGAAAACCTAAACAATACAAATTCCATAAATAGGCGGGAGTGTTATTTTAAATACATAATTTAGTGTTGATATTTTTGATTTCCGTCAAACCGTTAGCGAGATATTCCACGTTTAAGTTTGGTTAGGGAGATAGTAGCGGGACATCATTTGTGTGTCCGTACAGCGTGTGACATTTGAATAGTGCCTCACTATACACAGTT